TCTGTGCCCTAACATGTCTACTGCCATTTCTGTGTCCCCAAGGATTCTGGCATGGGGATTGGTCCACAGAAGTTGCTTAGAAAATACTGTTGAATGAATTAAATAAATATCTCCAATTGCTTACATATTTACTGTCCATCCTCTTAGGCTGCTGATCAAGATGGTGGATTGAGGTGCTATGGGAAGCCCCTCTTCCATCTACGAATATGCTGAAATGCTGCATAAAATAGAACTATTTAAAAGGGTATAGAGCCAAAGTCAAAATCAAGAAGAGGAGATCTCCAGCTTGTGTGGAAAGCAGGAGATGGAGCTGAAATGCCCATGGAGGGATTAGGGACAGGAGACCTTGCGTAGTGAGTTACAGAAGGAGACTCCCTGCATGAGGCCAGGGGCGAGCAAGGGCTGTCTTATCCATAAACAAAGATGAAAAATATTCCACCTATTGGCCTTGGGGTTTTGTTCCCAGGTATGGGACTCAATCTCTCATTACCTGTGTAGCTAGGCAACTCCAAGCTAAGAATCACAATTAAAAACTGGTCTAGAATCAGGGCCTAGTGGAGGCAAATGGAGAACTGCTCTGAAGGGAACTCTACAACCGGTTCTATGTGTGACTCTCAAGGATCATGGCCCTGCCAAAGATGGGCTCACAGCCCAAAATGACAGTGCCTGTCAAGAATGCCTCATCATGACAAAGACAGCAGGTGTAAAACATCTCAGGAAGCTCAGATATTACAGCAATCCAAAAGAGACTGTAAAATTAATATGGTTGAATGCTACAGAGATAAAGGATTAGACAGAACCCACAACACAAGGACTGATAAGGATGAAAAAAAAAGTACAGGTCTGAAAAAGAACTCAATAGAAGCCCTAACATGAACAATAGAGTCATCGAGATCCCATTTTAGGAAAGTGGCAGAGTTTGACTCAAAGTTAGGAAACTCAACGCAGTCTGAATTCAGCTGAGTTCAGGTATGTGACTTTAGTAAACCCACTCCCAACTCCAAGGGTCTATTTCCTCATTTGAAACATATGACATAATACCAACCTCAGAGGGAAGATGAGAAGATCGGAGTGAGTCGGTCTCTGTGAAAGTGCTTTGAACACTGGGAGATGCTGGAAAAGTGTGAGTTGGGTCATTTATTCTAACCAAATGGCTTCAAGCTGTCATTCTCAGGGGGAGTTCAGTCATTGCTCTGTTTTCCCCCCAAAGACACATCTGCAGAGCACCTGGAGACATTCCAGAGTGATGTCACTTAAGAGGGTGTGATGGGGCTCTGCTGTTTGGGGCATGGGGCCCTTTCCTCCCTGTAATTCCTCTAGACTGCAGCCCCCTAGGCCAGCTGCAGAGGAGGGGGTTGATTCAGCGCAATAGTCAGGGACATCTGAGTTTCTGGCACTTGAAAAGCAAAAGCAGGCTGGGTGCGCTGGCTCACGCCTGTAATCCCAGCACTTTGGGGGGCCGAGGTGGGCGAATCACAAGGTCAGCAGTTCAAGACCAGCCTGGTCAACATGGTGAAACCCCGTTTCTATTAAAAATACAAAAATTAGCCAGAGGCAAAAGAATGGCTTGAACTTGGGAGGCGGAGGTTGCAGTGAGCTGAGATTGTGCCACTGCACTCCAGCCTGGGTGACAGGCGAGACTCCATCTCAAAAGAGAAAGGAAGGGAAGGGAAGGGAAGGGAAGGGAAGGGAGGGGAAGGGAAGGGAAGGGAAGGGAAGGGAAGGGAAGGGAAGGGAAGGGAAGGGAAGGGAAGGGAAGGGAAGGGAAGGGAAGGGAAGGGAAGGGAAAAGAAAGAAAGAGAAAAGCAAAAGTAGAGGTGAATTGTAGCCCACAGTCCCTCCCCAGCCAGTAAAATGTCTGACCGATGTTTCTGGGTTAGGAGAATCCAGGGGGACTTGTGCATATTACCAAACCCAACTCGAGCTTGTGGCTTGGGGCCATCAGGCTGGGCTGTGAGTCCTGCCCTTGCCACTAAGTTGCTGTGCCACACTGGACAGCTGCTTCCTCCCTGGTCTTGGTTTTCTCGTCTGTGAAATGCTGACAATAACACTTTTCTTTTAGAGTAGTTCAGAGGCCCCATGAGCTCACATGAAAAAGTGCCTGGTACGCAGCTGATGCTCAATAAATGCCCATGGCTATTCTGTCTCCTCTCCTTTCCCTTCTTCTCAGAGTGAGAGCTTTGGGGCAGGTCAGTCCATAAACCAGCAAACTCTGACCATAGAAAATGGGCAGAGGTGGTCAACCTCCTGGGCAAGGTAGGGTTGAAAGCATATTTCTAGAGGGGCAGAGAAATGAGTGACACAGTCATCTGCCTAATCACTGTGTGCCCTTCACATAGTGTTACTCGCTCTCTGGTCCTCAATGTCCTCATCACTAGGCGTTTCCTTCAAAGCCTCTGCAATAGCTGCTCCTCCTTCTTCCTTACTAACAGAATCCACTTTTGGCTGGGCGCAGTGGCTCACGCCTATAATCCCAGCACTTTGGGAGGCCGAGGCGGGTAGATCACCTGAGGTCAGGAGTTTGAGACCGGCCTGGCCAACATGGTGAAACCCCGTCTCTACTAAAAATACAAAAATTACCCAGGCGTGGTTGCATACGTCTGTAATCCCAGCTATGGGGAGGCTGAGGCAGGAGAATCTTTTGAACCTGGGAGGCAGAGATTGCAGTGAGCCAAGATTGCGCCATTGCGAAAAAGCCTGGGTGACAGGGCAAGACTCTGTCTCAAAAAACAAACGAACAAAAAATAGAACCCCAGTTTTGTTTGAGACTGACTAACAGGACCAGCCCTTCCAGGTTTCTTCTTATGCCCAATCAGCAGATAGAAGGTCTGGAGGCACAGCAGCCATCGTGTAACTGTGAATCAAAGCACACAGGCAGTGGGGGAAAAGTGCTTTGACTTTTCTGCTTTGTGGCTGTGTGGCCTTGGGTATGTTACTTAACTTCTCAGTGCCTCATCTCTCACAATGTGTAAACTGGGGATAAAATGCCTACCTTGAACAATCTTATGGGGACTAAATGGTGCATTGGCTATGAATACACTTTTTCTATTGTAAAGGGCTATGCCAATGTTTGTAGTCACTTGTAGCATTCTGCTATAGAGGACTAGTTGTGACTTTAGAAATAAACAAAGAAGAGCCCCTTTATTTCTCCTCTTGGATAAAGTTCCAAGGCTGGATGTGGGCCTCAAGCCAACCAGCCCTGCTCTTTAGCCATCAGCTATGCAAACAGGAAGTGGCTCTCCAAACACTGCACGCTGCAGGAGGCTGGCCCAGAGTCTGCCTCTTTGGAGGCCTCCCTCTAGCCCCATGCCTTCCCATCTCCCAGTTGTGAGCTCCTCAGATGTCCAGTAGGTTCAAGGCCATCCCTTCTGCCTGCCCCACCCCCAGCCTGGGCCAGACCACCTTCCTCTCAGGACCAGGATGGCAGGAGCCCCTCACTGGGCTCCGCACTATCTTCTGCTCTCCCTGTCTGCCCATCTCTTTGTCACACTGTAGCCAGGGTAACTTTTTATTGAAATGTAAATCTGCTTCTGTCACCTCCTTGCTTAAAACTTTCCCATGGTTTCATGTTCTTTCTCTTAAGGGAAAAACTGAAGTCCTTGCTGCCACCTTCCAGGCCCTAAATGGGTCTACCTCCAGCTCCACCCCTCCAGCCACTCTGGCTTCCTTTTAGTTTTTGAATGGTGCTACGGCCCCTTCTGCCCTAGGGCTTTGCCCGTACTGTTCCTATTTTCTAGAATGTTCTCTCTTCTCTTTCCATCTGGCCCAGTAACATCCTACCCTCAAGTGTCACTTCTTTGGGGGCAGGCTGATGAGTGTCCTCCACATCCTGCCTGCTGCCACACATCTGTTCCTGTGAAGGTCTTATCTGCTCACAGGTGGCTGCACAGGGCAGGGAATTCAGTCTGTCCTAGTCACACGGTCACATCCCTGATGCCTGGGATGGCCCCTGGCACAGAGAAAATGCTCAGCAAATGTGTAGTCAGGCCAGCCGGCAGGCAGGGGTGCCTTGTGATTTGAAAGGGAGAGAGGCTCTGTCGACCAAGCATCTACCATGTGCCAGGCAGGATCCCATGGCCTCTTCACAGCCACTCCCGCAGGCAGGGACCCCAATCTGTGCTCTACCCAAGAGGAAGCAGGGTCTTCGAGGGGTGGTGACTTGCCCACACTCACACATCTGCCAAAAGTCCTGCCAAGATTTGAATCTGGGTCCCAAGTCCAGCTTCCTGCCCTGGTGGAGCTTGCACAGGCAGTCATTATACACCTGTTTCCTCATCTACAGAGTGGAAACACAGCAGTACCCACCTCACAGGGCAGCTGTGAGGCTTAAATGAGTTAAGCCACATAAAGTACTTAGCTCAAGGCCTGGCACACAGCAAGTGCTTAGTAACTGTAAGCTATTATCATTATGATCGAATCCAGGAACAAATAAGAATAAGCACATTCAACTGCAATCTATGATATGATAAACAAATAGAGGGTGTTTGTGGGTGAACAGGAGGATGGATGGACGGCTGGCTGGGTGGGTGGGTGGGGGGATGGATGGATGATGGATGGGTGGGGGGATGGGTGGGTGGGTGAGTGGATGGATGGATGAATAGATGGATGATGGGTAGGTGGATAGATGGTGGGTCGGTGAGTGGATGGGTGGATGGATGAATGGGTGAGTGGATGGACGAGTGAGTGGATGGATAGGTGGGTGGCGTGGGTGAGTGGATGGACAAATGGATGGATGGATGGATGGGTGAGTGGGGTGGGTGAGTGGATGGACAGATGGATGGATGAATGGATAGGTGGGCAGATGGATGCAGAGCAAGCAATGGAATAGACTTATGACTTAAGAAATGGAGAACTGACAAAGGAATGAAAGAACACGTGAATAAATGCATGGAGAAACTGGGGAACACGTGAGCGTGTGGGAGGGGGTTTGCACACCCGAAGTCTGGGAAAATGGGAGCCGAACTGGGGCACTTGGGCCCAGGGCCCGCGCCCCTGCTCACCTGTAGCGTTGCAGCTCCGCCTCCAGCCGCCGCACCCAGCGCTGCAAGCCGGGCACCTGTCGCGCCAGCGCCTCCAGCTCTCGCACGCGGTGCAGGCTGCGCAGCACCACCTGCCGGGCCTCCTCCGCGCGCCGCCGCACCTCGGCCTGGCCACGGCGCAGCCGCCCAGCGCGGGCCTCCGCCGCAGCCAGCGCGCCTTGTGCCTGCCGCAGTTCCCGCACCGCAGCCTCCGGTCCGCCGCGCTCCATCTCGTGGGTGCTCGCCTGGCTCTTCCAGAGCCCGACCTGCGGGGACAGGGCAGCAGGGGCAGGGGGTAAGTGCCCCAGCCACATGCACCAGACGAACGCCCGCCACGACGGCGGTCCCCATTCCTCCGCACCCAGAAGTGCGTGAGCACTTCCGCCTGCTTCCAGGTGCCAGGCCCTTAGGTCCCGTGCGTCCGAGCTCCTTTAACCCTCGCCACATCCCTAGGGAGGCGGGAGCTCTAATGATTCCTCCTCGCCCGCCCCCACAACCCTCCGGCATTTTTTTACTGATGAAGGAAACTGAGACAGGACGCCAGTATTCTGTTCCCTCTGTGGTACCAATGATTCTTCAACCTCGCACCTCGTCTCGGTCTACTCCTGTGTTGGCGGCGTTCAGCCTGCCGGGTGGCAGTTCCTCATCTCCTAGACACCCCCCAGTGGCACTTGCAGCCCTCCCCGTGCCTGCTCACTAGAGGCTCCTTGAGGGCGGTTTCTGTCTGTCTTTACTGGTGTGTTCCCAGAGCCTAAAACAAACCTGGCACATAGTAGGTGCTCAATAAATACCCGAGCATGAGCGATGCCGGAAGACCTTTCAGGCGCATCCCATGGCTCCCAGTACATTACTTGGGATTCCACATCAGAGGAGTACTTTCCCGCCTCCACCCTGGCTTCCATGCACACCAACACTGAAAACCACACCTTGCCACTTTCCTGCACTCTGCAGTGTCCTGAGCTAAAGCGGGGTCATATAACGTCATTTTCTTCCTGGCCTGTTGTCGCCTGGGGTAGGGGCTGTTCCTTTCCTCCTCTGACCCCTGCGGCCCAGCACTGCCCTTGGTGCACAGTTGGCACAGTGCTTAAGTGTTTGTCGACGGCTCCCAGATGCTAAGGCTGGGTCCCCATCTCACCCCATGGTTTCTTCTCAATAGCCCAGAGCGGGTTTGGTTCCCACAGACATTTGGTGGCCCATGAGTGCCTGATCCATAGTGTGAGCCACCCTGTCTATTTCTCACTTGTCTGTTTCTCCCGCAGGGAGCCCCGTAAGTCGTTGCTGATTGACAGAAGGAGCTGTCAGTCTACTCCAGGAGGCAGGGAGATCCTTAAAGGTGAGGTCAGGGCCTTCTTCACACTTCTGTCTCCTAAACCTCCCAGAAGCCTGGCAGGAAGGAGAGAGAAAGATGCTTGTTGAAAGGGAATGTGTGAGACTACCCAGACAAGTGCAATTCCTGGGTTAGAAGGGGCAAGACGCGATGATGCGGGGGTGGAGCAGAAAAGTGGGGTATGGTTGTCTGAATGTGACTGGGGTTTTCAGGAGTGGAACAGATGGTAAGAATAGGGTTGGGGACTGGAGTGGAATGGGGAGGAACAGGGACAGGATGCAAGTGGGCTGAGGCGGGGTGGGATGGTGTAGGGCTGCCCTCTGTCTACCCTTCCTCTGCCTCTGTCCCGTCGGGCTCCGCAGCCAGCCAGCTTTTAGTTCGAGCCCTCTCCCAGGCGTTACCACCCTCCCTCCGCGGCCAGCGCGCACCTGCAGTGCTAGGCAGCGCGCATCACTGCTCTGCAGCGCAGCGCGCAGGTCCTCCACCAACTCGCGCAAGCTGCTATTCTCCTCCTCCAGCCGCGCAACGCGCTCGCAGTCGGGACCGCTGTCGGGGCCAGACGCGCAGGGCGGGCGGCGGCGGCGGCGCGGACGGCGCAGGCGGATCTGCGTCTCGATGTGCTCGCTGAGGGCGCCGCGGGGCAGCCGGGGCCCTGCACGGGTGCCGAAGTAGCCGCAGAGGCGCGCGTGGAACTGGCGGAAGGTGAGCTCCGGCGGCTCGGCGCGCAGCGCCAGGCGCGCCTCCTCGTCGGTATCTGAGTCCCCGTCCGTGGCCAACTCAGCGGCCGCGTCCCCGGTGGTCACAGCTCTGGAGTTCGCGTCTCCGACTGCCTCCCCGGCCGCGGTGGCCCCCTCCGCGCGCAGCCCCAGCACAGCGCAGAGGGCGCGGAAGTCGGCGCGGGGCAGGCGGCCGGCGCCACGGCAGTCCAGGTGGTGGAAGACCTCCTGCAGGTACTGGTCCAGGCCGGTGGCCAGCACCACGATCTCGTTCTCCACGCCGCGGTCCAGCCCATAGTGGTGCGCCAGGGCGCTCAGCAGCCACTGCGTGCGCCGCGCAGGTCGCCGGTACGGGTCACCTCCCGCGCTCTCTATGCCGGCCTCCGCGCCCGCGCTGTCCGGCTCCATCGCTGCGCCGCGCGCCTCGCTCCTCCGGTCCCTCCTCCGGTCCCTTCGCCCCGCCACTTCCAGGGGCGGCCCTAGAGTTTCTTGAAAGGAGGGGCTTAGTGGTCGCGATCTGGTTGGAGCGGCGCCGGGGACCGTGTCCAGCAGCTGCGCTGGCCTCACAGGGCGTCTGGTTTACCCCAGTTGCTTTGGAGGGGTGTGGGGTAGGAGGTCCAGGAGCCCCCTGGGACCCCCGCAGCGCCACCAGTGCCCGGTCGGCGTCCGAGTTTGGCTTCTCCGCGTGACTCCCGCGCTCTCCTCTCCTCACTCCCGGGGCGTTCCTGGCGTCTGCGCTTTTCCTCCCCCTCCCGGCCGTCCACTCTCAACTCCCTCCTCCCTTCGCCCCGCCCGCCTGGCGCGGAGAGTCGCCCCGAGACCTGGGCGAGGGGTTGGCGCGGGATCCGAAGCCCAGGAGGGCCTTGGGGGTGGCGGCCTCGTCCGGTTGCTGGGTATGTGCCCCCACACCCAAGCGTCACTCTTCCCCCTCTTCCCGGAAGGCCTTTGGAGGGTTGCCTGGCAAGCCTGCTCTCGCCGCCCTGTAGCTGTGGGTGCGGAAAAGTCTCCCCTCCGCTTAAATTCAGCTACCAGGTTTCCGAGCACTTCTTGTGCCACCATAGACCTTGCAAAAAGCCCCAAGTAGTAACTGGGAAAGAGAGGGAAACAGGCTTGGAGAGGCAAGGGGTCTAGGTTAGGGGCACCCCGCTGGTCAGAAGCTGATCTGTGCTAACTGCTCTGTCCAGATCCCTGTTGGGGGTGGGGATAGGATTCTCGGGAAAGTGGTGTCTCCCGCCCCTGCCACCTTTGTGCCTGAGGGTGCTGACTTGGCAATGGGATCCGAGTTCCATCTCTGAGCTGGGGTTAGGTTAACAGGTTGATGATTGGCTGATGTTTTAGAACACATTTCTGGAAGATGAAGAAAAACCTGCTTCTCTGGTGAGTACTGGACTGTGTTCGCTTTCTTTTTCACGAGAGGCGTGCAGTGATATTGTGATATTGTTCACCTGTTACCTGCACCGGGAACGGTTATCCAGCCAAGGTATCCAGCCACGTTGGAGCAAGAGGCAGACTCTTCAGCTGTTCCTAGCTATAACAGAGACAGAATCTTGCCTTGTGGATAACTCTGTGAGTTTAAATGTAAAATCTTGCCGTTTGAAAAGCGATAGCATTCTGTCTCCTCTGCCACAGTATCCCAGAATCAGCACTTTGTCCATTTGGCAAATTCGTACTTGTTCTTGAAGGCTTTTCCCAGAGTACATCTCTGCTGGGAAGGAGTTAAAGGCTTCTCCCCAAGCATTTTGGACATACTGTTTTAGGTTTGTTTTTAAGTATAAAAGTAATGGCAATTTGACAAAGTTTTTACATCACATCCACTTCTTGGCTTCTACCTTAGAAAGCCACTGTGTACAGGATGTTCACTGCATCATTGTTTATTAGAGTGAGAAACTGGAGACAACACGGTGTCCATCAGATCAGCTAGGACTCAGCAAACGAGGATGAGCAGACACAGCAAGGCACAAGCTGATTATGCACAACACTGATGCTTGCATAACAAGAACAAAAACACAAAAAACAATACTATTTTCTGCTGGGACATGTGTATGTGAGTGCACAGAAGAAGAGGGAGGGATTCATAAGTGGATTCAGTGGTTTTCTCTGCAGATGGGAAACATTGCAGTATTTACCTTTTGATAAGATGTTCTCATGTGTTTCTTTTTCTTGGCCGGGTGCGGTGGCTCACGCCTGTAATCCCAGCACTTTGGGAGGCCGAAGCGGGTGGACTGCCTGAGGTCAAGTGTTCGAGACCAGCCTGGCCAACATAGTGAAACCCCTTCTCTACTAAAAATACAAAAAATTAGCTGGGCATGGTGGCAGGCGCCTGTAATCCCAGCTACTTGGGAGGCTGAGGCAGGAGAATCATTTGAACCCGGGAGGCGGAGGTTGCAGTTAACTGAGATCCTGTCATTGCACTCCAGCCTGGGTGACAAAGCGAGACTCCGTCTCAAAACAACAACAACAAAAAAAAAGAACCTGATTTTATTTCATGTCAGTGCTGAGGGCTGGTAGCCCAGGCAAGAGTGCAACACCCTCCCCGCCCCCCACATCCCTGCAGCTGGTAAAGGAATCCTTTGAACAGTAGCTTTCCTGGGCCAGTCAATATTGAAAAGAAAGCTTTTAAATGTCTTGCTGGGAGCCTTTGCCGGCCTCTGCTCCCCTACAGCTCAGGGAAGTAAGGGTTGATAATGGTTTTCTGTCAGGCCTGTCTGTCTGCCCCGTGGTGTTACCAGGCACCTCTGAAATAATTCTGGTTGCATCCACAAGGTTTTTGTTTAAGGTTCAAAGTGAGCAAACTCAGAGGTCTCCTTGCGCTCTTTTGTATGAGCTGGGGGGATGGGCATGTGTCTGTGTAGGGTAGAGTCAGGGCTGTGGCAAAGAAATGATTTTCTGAAGTCAGTTCAGTATTGTTTGAGCCATTTCAAATAGTATATTGTTTAAAGTGTCTTTTAAAGGTCCAGGAAAATGCTAAAAAGCAAAAATCATCCACTATTCTGCCACCAAGAGGGGACCACTGTGTATTTCTGATGTATTTATTTCCAAACTTTTCTATGTATTTGGGCATGAAAGAACTTTTTGGAGTCATTGAAATACTCTGTCTTCATGGTATAGTGGTTGCATGACTGTGTAAATCTGAATTTCACAGTGTGCAAATTGTAGCTCATTCAACTTGACATGAAAAGCACAGTGGAAAGGGCACCGTTGGGATCTTTCTTTGCACAGGAACTGAGCTTTGTAAACAGCTTGACTGTGGTTTCTTTGCAGACACTGCTCCAGAGGCTGCTCTGTGCTCCCTCAAAATGAACTATAAGGTGCTTTGTCATCCCCCACAGATGCCCACAGAGGTAATTTTCAGCTTTTCTCCACAAAAACAATACTGTGAACAGTTTGTGCCATATCTTGAGTGATTTATTACCGGGCCATGGAGTATACATATTTTATAAACTCGCGATATTGTCACACTGTTTTTTGGAAACTTGTGTTATTCTATCCAGAGCCCAGAATTGTCTGGGAATGTCCTTGGGCCATTATTTTCAGTGTCATAAAGCTTTTGGGTTTTTAGGAGTCTTGGTTAGTGGATTTGCTTTAGTGTTCAGACACCAAGCTTTACTTCTATTAAAAATAGGCCTGTTGTTAGGCAAAGATTTCTTAGATACAGCACCAAATGCATGGTCCAAAAAAGAAAAAAAATGATGAATTGGACTTTCATCAAAGTTCAAAACATTTACACTTCAAAAGATACTATTAAGAAAATAAGATGAACAGGAGACTAGAAGGAAATATTTGTAAAACATATACCCAGTAAAGAACTTATATTCAGAATTTACAATGAACTCTTACAAGTGTGTTCGGGCTTGTAAGAACAAGTAACAAGTAACAAAAAGACAAACAATCCAATCAAAAGTGAGTGAAATATACAAACAGATATTTCGCCAAAGAAGTTGTATAAATGGCCAACATGCATATAAAACAATCTCAGTATTCTTAATTGTTAGGGAAATGCACATGAAAACTACAATGAAATACTATATCATACCCATGAGAATAGCTGTAATGAATAAAACAGGCAACAAATCTTGTCAAGAATTTGGAGAAACAGGAAACTTCATGTTATTGATGGGAACATAAAATGATGCAGCCCCTGTGGAAGATAGTTTGGCAGTTTCTCAAGAAGTTAATCACAAAATGACCATACGACCCAACTATTCCACTCCTAGATATCGACCCAAGAGAGATGAAAACACGTCCACACAAAGACTTGCATGGGAATGTTCATTGCAACATTGTTCATAAATGTCTAAATGCCCAAGCCAAATGCCCATTAACTGATGAATGGATAGGCAAACTGTGGTCTGTCCACACAATAGAATATTATTCAGTCATGAAAAGGAATGAAATACCGACACATGCCTCAACATAAATAAACCTCAGAAACATAACGGTAGGTGAAAGAAACCAATCACAAAGCCAGAACACATAGTGTCTGACTCAATTTATAGGAAATGTCTAGAAAAGGCAAATTTTTAGAGATAAAGTAGATATTGGTTGCCTAGGACTGGGAGTTGGAACAGAGATTAATTATAAATGTGCATGAAGTCTTATTAGGGGGATGAAAATGTTCTAAAATGAATTTATGATGGTGATCACACCACTTGGTTACTGAAAATTACTGAAAATCATTGAATTCTATGCTTGAAATGGATGGATTTTGTGAAATAAAAAATACTTCAATAAAGCTGTTAAAAATGGGGAAGGGGCAGGAAGAAGATGGATGTAGCTGATTCCCAATATGCTTCCAGCTGCCAGAGTCTTGGGATAACTTCAGGAAGGCCTCGACATAACCTATGGGAGCTTGGGAACCCCCCACCCAGCGGAGTAAGGAAGCAGGGATGGATTGTTCAGTGACCTTGAACACCTCCCACCCCTGGATGTTTGCCCCTCTGCTTACCAGAGGTACAGTCCATGTCTTCATCCCCTTGAAGTGGGGCCAGCCTCATGACTTCCTTTGGTTAATGGCATGTAGCAGAGTGACATGGTGCTGGTTCCACGCCTATGTCCTAAGAGGCCTTGCAGCTTCTTCTGTGCCCTCTGGGATCCCTGCTCTAGAATGCCATCTGAGGAAGCCAGGCCAGGCTACGGGAGATGAGGTGCCACCTGGAAGGAAGCTGGTGTACCATTGGGGGGGTGCCATAGGGGAACCAGGGCCCGCGGAGAGCCAGCAGCAACTTCCAGACATGCAAGTGAGGCCTTCTGGCACCTTTCAGCCATGTTGGTCCTCCAGCTGAGCACAGCACAGGGAGTGAGCCCAGCAGCCAGCAGAAGAACTACCCAGCGATACATGGAGTGGTGAGAAATAACAAGTGGTTGTTGTTTGATGCCATTAAGTTTGGGGATGTTTTTACTCAGTAACAGATAATTGAAACAGAAGACCCTTTCCTTTGCTTTCGATCTGCCAGCCCTGAAGCCATCTTCACTGAGTGGGTTGTAGACACACCACTCTCTCACACCTGAGTAGTGGGTGGCACACCTTTGCCCTGACTTCATCCTGTGATGTCTAGGTCTTTTTTTTTTTTTTTTTTTTTTTTTTGAGACGGAGTCTCGCTCTGTCGCCCAGGCTGGATGCAGTGGCCGATCTCAGCTCACTGCAAGCTCCGCTCTCCGGGTTTACACCATTCTCCTGCCTCAGCCTCCCGAGTAGCTGGATTACAGGGCGCCCGCCACCTCGCCCGGCTAGTTTTTTGTATTTTTTTAGTAGAGACGGGTTTCACCGGGTTAGCCAGGATGGTCTCGATCTCCTGACCTCGTGATCCGCCCATCTCGGCCTCCCAAAGTGCGTGGGATTACAGGCTTGAGCACCGCGCCCGGCCAATGTCTAGGTCTTGACCCAGGACACCCCTCTCTCAGTGGCAGTGGTTCCATATTCTGGTTGTGTAATACAATCTTGGTGGTAATTTAAAAATATGGCTCCTGTTCCTATTATTTATTGCACAACAAATCACCCCAGAACTTTAGTGGTTTAAGAGAGCAACAACTTACTTTGCCTTATAAATCTGCAATTTCTCATGATGTAGACAGCTTGTTTCGTTTCTTAGTGTCAGCCAGGGTGTTCAAAGACTAAAGGCTGGGATCATTTGAATTCTTGCACTCTCATATGTCTGGGAGTTGAGGCTGGCAATTGGCTGGGAACCATCAGTCACAACAGCTTCATGTGGCCATTTCACATGGCTACTTGGCTTCCTCACAACATGATAGCTGATTCCTAGCATGAATACTATACCTCAAAAGAACAGGGCAGAGGTAGATGGAATTTGTATGACCTGGGCCTCAGAAATCACCATAGTGTTCATTTCCTCTCTCTCTTTTGACTGAGGCAGGTCACAAAGGTCTGCCCAGTTTCCAGGGGAGGGGTCTAGACCCCCCCGCCCCCACTGGGTGGGAGGAGTGTGAACCCCAGGATGCCTGCCAGAAGATTATGTGGGGGGGATCTTTTGAGGTGGCTGTCTTTGGAAAATACAATCTGTCACTGGTTCTTAAGCCCCACCTCTGGAGAGTGACTTCCACAGGTCTTTAATGAAGCCTCAGAATTGTATTTTTGACATGTAGGTGTTTCCAGTGCACATCCAGGATGGCACATTTGTCCTTGGTCCAAGACCTCTGGCCTCTCACTACTGAACTTGGGGAGAGATTGGCCTCTGCCCTAGGTGGTGATGTGATCAAGGAACCTTTGGAGGGAAACCAGCCTCAGGCCAGTGGGTAGGACCTGGGGAGCAGGAGGCCTGATATCTGTCCGAGGGTGATGGTGGTGTTGAACTGCCCTTGTTAAAGGGCCCTTTTGGGGGCTGGTGTATCTGAGTAGCTTTGTATTCTTCCAGCCCTTTGTGTGTCTCCTGAGCACTTCCTAGCATATAGACAGCAGTCTCCAGGCTGCTGCAGGTGGGGTGTGGGCAGGTGGTTGTGGCTGTCATGCTGAGAGTTTGAACCCCCTCCTCACAGGGCCCACTGCCATTTGGTGTCTCCCCTCACAGCTGTACTTGAGGCTGTTTTTTAGACTAACTGAACCCGAGGAGTATTGGAGCGCCCAGTATTAAAGGGGCTGTCCCATGCCCTGAGAGCAGTCTGGGGAGGCATGCACTAGGAGGCTCAGGACTTGGGTCTCAGCCCCAGCTCTGCCACAGTTTTGCTCTTTGACACAAAGTAGGTCATAGCTCAACTCAGAGCTAAAGTTTTCTTAATAGCCAAGCGTGTGTGTAGCCTCAGCTCTCATTCTCTTGAACAAACTGACTGCCAGAGCGGGATACCCTCCCTCAACAGAAGACCTGCCTTGGCTTCCCATTGCCCATAGTCCTGTGCCCTACCTGCCCTTTGGGGCTATGTACCATGGGCCGCGCACGCTGCTGCAGCCTCACCATCCATTCCTGAAACTTGCCATGCCCTTTCACCTCAGCCTCACCATCCATTCCTGAAACTTGCCATGCGCTTTCACCTCAGCCTCACCATCCGTTCCTGAAACTTGCCATGCCCTTTCACCTCTGTGGGCCTTTGCATATGCTGTTCCTCTACCTGGAATGCTTTCTCTTGCTTTCACCGCCTCTGCCTAGTCACCCCCCAGATTTGGCTTTGCTCACCTCCTCCATGAAGCCTACCGCAGCCCTCCACCCCAGCGGCTTGCTGTGCTGAGGTCTTCTATATTAGGAGCGGCAGCCAGGGCTCTCAGCTTGGGTGGTTTAGCAGACGAGCGGAGGCTTTGGAGTCAGGCAGTCCGGATTTCAACACAGTGCTGCGCCCTACTTGCTGTGTGACCTCAGGCGAATCGCTTCACCTCTCTAAGCTTTGTTTTCTCATCTCTGAGTTGGCGCTCATAATCACTAACCAGAATTCTCATGCTATTTTAAGGACATCAGCGACAGAAGCAGGGAATCTAATGAGACAGATCGTGGGGAGGTCTGAGTTTGCAGAGCCCACAGCTTCCTTTGCTTTTATTAAAGAATGGGAGGTGGGAGCTGATGGAGGGGGAGGGAGAAGCCATCAACCCCTCTCCCCCATCGTACGGGCAAGGGCCAGGCTTATAGTAGGTGCTGACGTTCAGAGTAGAAACTCCTTAAAGAGTGAATGAATGATTGAATGAATGAAGGCAGCTGGTTTCTGAACGTGGATGTAGCCATTTGACAGACTGCGCGCAGTGGCTGAGGGGGAAAGCCCCGCCCCGCGGAGCCCCGCCCCCAGGCCGCAGGCCCTCGCATCTCCTAGCAACCGCCAAACGGAGCTGAGTGGCTGGGCCTCCGGCCCTCCCTGCACCCGCGGACGCTCCTTTCAGTCTTGGAGTCTCTTCGCCGAGGTGGCTGTGGATCTGGTGCGGGAGTTGCCGCCGCCGTCCAAGTCCCCGCTGCCACCCAGCGCATCCGCTCGCAGGTACCGCCAGCACCTGGAGAGGAACCCCGACCCCTGCCCCCAACTCGGCCGCAGCAGCCCGGGACCCTTCCCTCCTCTCCTCGACGCGTGTTCCCTCCCCGGTGTTTGCCCGGCGTTCCGCCTCCGTGGGCCCTGAGCTGATGCCCCAGCACCCAGTGCACATTCATGTTCTGTCTAGGGGGCACGGCTTGCCCTCCCCGACCTCGCCAGGCTCCTGCACGTGCTGCCCGCGGCCTGGTTTGCCTCTCCCCAAATAGCGAACGCATCTTGTGCTTAGTCGCAGCAGACCTGCCTGAGTAGACGCCCTCTCTTCCGCCTGGTGGCTCCCGGGAGCTGCTCACCTGGGGCAGGCATTCCAGAAGCCCGGCGACTGACTCCTGGTTAGGCGAAGGAAACGGGGTTGCTCGTCGTCGTGCTTACTGCCAGCCACTCTTCTCTGTGGTTCATTCATCCATTCATTCTCTTAAGTCGGTTGAGTACCGACTGTGTGGCAGGCAGTGAAGGAGCCCCGGAGTTCACCCAGGAGCAAGCTGGGGAAGCGGGGAAGAGACGGGTGGGTGCTCCTGCAGGAGGCCGGACTTACTTCCTGGAGCAGCCCTGGAATACAGGCGGGGACAGCCTCACTTTCTCCCTGCCAGGAGCGCCGGCGGCCAGCGGCGCGCTCTACAGCATGTCGCTGAATGCCTGGGAGTGGGAAGAGGACCCCGCAAGCATAGAGCCCATCTCCTCCATCACCAGCTTTTACCAGTCCACGAGTGAGTGTGACGTGGAGGAACACCTCAAGGCCAAGGCCAGGGCCCAGGAGTCTGACTCTGACCGCCAGTGCAGCAGCACTGAGTCCTCATCTGAGCCTGCCAGCACCTTCAGCTCCGACGTGCCCCACGTAGTCCCCTGCACATTCACCATCTCACTGGCCTTCCCTGTGGATACGGGTAGGTGCTAGAGCAGAACTCTAACACCCTCTGAAAAAAGGAGGTGTATGACTTTCTGCAGGAATTTAGGGTGCATATGCCCCACATCGTCTCTCCACCTGCCCCACCCCAAAGTGGGCTGACCAGTGCCAGCCAGGAACAGAGGTTGAAAAGAAACAGCAATTTTAGGAGAGGCCCAACTGTGGCTGCATCAGCTTCACATGCTTAATCCTCTCAATAACCCTGAAGCAGATGATGTTCGGTCTGCTTTTTACAGAGGAGAAAAAAACCAAGGAGAGGTTAAGGCATGGATTCTCATAAGCGTTTGTGCATCACCTAATACCTTGTTTAAAATACATTTTCCGGGAGTCTGAGGCAGGAGCGTCTAATGAGAGAGGTTGTGGGGGAGGTCTGAGTTTGCAGAGCCCACAGCTTCCTTTGCTTTTATTAAAGAGTGGGAGGTGGGAGCTGATGGAGGGGGAGGGAGGGAGGGAGGAGCCATCAACCCTTCTCCCTCATCCTACGGGCAAGGGCCAGGCTTATAGTAGGTGCTGACGTTCAGGGTAGAAACTCCTTGAAGAGTGAACGAATGAGTGAATGAATGAAGGCAGCTGGTTTCTGAACGTCTCTATATGTCTCTAATTTATCCTACCCCTTATTGGTGGATATTTGAGTTGTTTCAAATGTTTTTCTGTTACAATTCTGCGATAGACATTCTTTACATACATTTTTGTGCATATATGTGGGCACTTCTGTTGTCTGTATTCCAAGAAGTAAATTTGCTGGATTGAAGGCATACATTTACAGTTTTTGACAGATACTGTCAATTTCTCCTTTAAAAGGGCTAAATAACTTGCCTTTCTGTCTACAGAAAATGAGAAGCTCTGTTTGTCCACTTGCTGGCCCACCTGAGATTGAATCAGAAAAGGTCTAATGCTACCAGAGCCTGGCAGGAGAAGCTTGACTCCAGTCTCTGCACAAATGCTAACCATTTTGGTAGCGGAAAAATTAATGCTGCAGCAGCCTCCTGGGGTTAAAAATTTAGACTTTAAAAGCTACAGCTTTAAAGAGGATCATGTTTTTATAGAATTATATTTGGATTAAATGTTATGGAGCTTCTTATCATGTGAAAAGTCCCGACCTAGAGTGTGGAGTTTAAGTTGGAGTGTAAGCAACCAGGGGCGGGGTCAGGGGGCTCCTTGGGCTCTGGACTCTGGCAGAAGCCCATCTGTACCTTCCACATCCTGTCACCCTGTCCACCCCACATTGGGTAGCTTCACCTATGACGTTTTTGTGAAGCTGTTTTCTCTGTGTCTGGAATATCTGCTAGCTTTGCTCCTCTAAGACTCTGCTAAGGCCCCCCTGGGAGGCCCACCCCACCCTCCCCATGCAGAGTTTGCCCCTCCACCTTTGTTCTTCACAACCTTGTTTCTGCTGCTGTTATTACACAAATCATATTGTACTGTGATTATTATTATTATTTTTTACCTGCTTCTTAGGGCCAGGAGGGACTAGGGTGAGGCAAGTAGGGCGTCTCTCCCAAAAACATCTGGCTTGGCCATGTGATTTCACTTTAACTCTATCACTTTTTTAACCCTAGGCCTACTAACCAACACTCACTCTCCAACAGAGACACTCACTCTGAAAACCACGCACTTCAATTTTGCACTCAGGTGCGCAGTCCAGGTCCTGCTACTTTGCTGGCTAGGAGCACTGGACCTGTACCTCCTTTCCCAAATTGGGCAGGCAATGTGCGCAGCCTCTCACAACATCAAGCTCCATGGAACTGGGGAGATGGATCTGCTTTTCCACATGAGGTTAAAACGAGACTTTTTCAATCTGTATCTTCAAGGTCATAAGGGGAAATATGCAAGTTTGATTGAAAAATATAAGAAGCACCCTAAAACAGACAGTTCTGTTTCAAAGTTACGTCGTTTTTACCACATCGAGTATTTCCTTCTGCCGGACGATGGAGAACCTAAAAAAGTTGACATATTGCTATTTCCAGTGGTGGCCAAAGTGTTCCTGGAGTCAGGAGTAAAGGTGCGTGTGTGAGTGCATGTGACCTTACATATAGTCTAATGCTTATCATGAAAAGTGTGCCACTCCATGGATGTGCAACATCAGCTTTACCTCCAGTTTGCTAGAATTGGAGGATCCCAGGCCCCACCTCCTGAGTAGGAATCTGTACTGACCTGATCATTCCAATTACTGACTTTTTTTTTTTTTTTGAGTCGGAGTCTTGCTCTGTTGCCCAGGCTGGAGTATAGTAGTGCAATCATCTCCGCCTCCTGGTTCAAGTGATTCTTATGCCTCAGCCACCTGAGTAGCTGGAATTACAGGTGTGAGCCACCATGCCCAGCTAGTTTTTGTATTTTTAGTAGAGATGGGATTTCACTATGTTGGCCAGGCTGGCTTTGAACTCCTGACCTCAAGTCATCCTCCTGCGTTGGCCTCCCTAAGTGCTGGGATTACAGGTGTGAGCCACCCCACCTGGCCTATTTTTTATTTAGATATTTTACCCAGTAATTTCCAGAATGTTTCAAAAGTTTTTGTGTACACACTACCTGCACACACACACTCCTGCCAGTGGTTTGACCCTGGGTCATTGCTTAGAAGCAGTCGAGGAGGATGCTATTTGCAGATAATTACTTTGATTTTATTCTTCCTGAGGAACGCAAAAGTCTGATGGGGCCCAGTACACACCACCCCATTTTCCCTGAACTCAGAGCCTGAAGAGTGACCAGGCACTGAAGTCAGGCAGCGCTGCTGCTGAGGGCCAGGCTGGGGCTGGGGTTTGCTCTGTTCACCATGGCCTTCACACATCTTTCCCCAGTTGACATCTCTGAATGTTGTTTTACACAGACTGTGAAGCCGTGGCACGAAGGTGACAAAGCCTGGGTGTCGTGGGAGCAGACTTTTAATATCAATGTGACAAAGGAATTATTAAAGAAAATAAATTTCCACAAAATCACCTTGAGGCTCTGGAACTCTAAAGACAAGATGTCAAGAAAAGTCAGATATTACCGATTAAAGACTGCCGGCTTCACAGACGACGTGGGAGCTTTCCATAAGTCAGGTGCTCTGGTTTTATTTGAAATGGTTCTGGAAGCCTGGGGCTTACTCAGTAGTAATAGCATAAAAGCCAGTGTCTCCTGGTTTCCTTCATCTAATTGGCATGTGCACACATGGGTTTCTGCATCTGTGGGGGCATCCCACCAGGCCATGCTGTGGTGACAGGAAGCGCTACCTAGGGGAGTGATGGTGTGGTGGGCAGTGTTCTTGCAACTCCTCCTTTTGGGCCCTTTCATTCCAGGGCAGCTCTGACGTGGGCACCCACCACCGGTCTGGACTAGTATTGTATGTTCACTGAAAAAAAAAAAACAAACCAAAACAAAACAAAAAAAAACCTTAGAGGATACCAAGAAACAAAAGAGAAAACTTAAAAATCCCACCACCCCAAGCCAATTGTCTTAAGATTCTCATGTAGACTCTTCCAGACTCATTTGTGTAAATATTTTATCAATATCAGAAAGACTTTTTTTTTTTTTTTCGAGATGGAGTTTCACTCTGTCGCCCAAGCTGGAGCGTAGTAGTGCCATCTCGGCTCACTACAACCTCTGCCTCCCCGGTTCAAGTGATTCTTCTGCCTCAGCCTCCGAGCAGCTGGGACTGCAGACACATGCCACCACGCCTGGCTAATTTTTGTATTTTTAGTAGAGATGGGGTTTCACCATGTTGGCCAGGCTGGTCTTGAACTCCTGACCGCAGGTGATCCACCCGCCTTGGCCTCCTGAAGTACTGGGATCACAGGTGTGAGCCACTGTGACCAGCCAATGTCAGAAAGTCTTTTGAACTCATCTTGAAGGAGAGAGCCAGGAGGGATGGAAGGATCCAGGCTTTGACGCCAGATGCTGGAATTCAGTCCTGTCTCCAACTTATACTTGCTGGTGACCTGGGTATGTTCCTGAACATACGTTTCTCATCTGTAAAAAAGGAAAAATAACTAGTACCTGCTTCACTGGAATATTGGAGGCAGGTTGACAGGAGTGGTCCACCTGGGTACAGGCAATAAGGAGGGTATGCATTGTCTATAGAAAATTTAAGAACTGTAATTAAATGCTACCAATTAAACTGTGACATGGCATTAATTGTAAGATGCATCCTGATGCTTAGAGATGTTAAAAATTTTAAAAGGCAGGTACAGTGGCTTGTGCCTGTAATCCCAGCACTTTGGGAGGCTGAGGCAGGAGTTTAAGACCAGCCTGGGTAATGTGGCAAGACCCTGTCTCTACAAAAAATTTAAAAATCAGCCCAGCATGGTGATGTGCACCTGTAATTCTAGCTTCTTGAAAGGCTGAAGTGGGAGGATTGCTTAAGCCTGGGAGGTTGAGGCTTTAGTAAGCTGTGTTTGTATGACTGCACACTAGCCTGGGTGACAGAGCAAGACCTTATCTCAAAAAAAAAAAAAAAAAAAGTAAAACAGATGTACATATTAGAATCAATGCTGTATGGTACTATTATCATTGTCAGCACCTTCCAGACGAGTATAATTATCCTCAATTTTGTGTGGCCAGAAAGCCTTGCTTTTCTCTGATTTTCTAGCCCGCCTTCTCAAGGAGCCTTTCTGACCTTGGAGGCTTGGAACTTCGCACTTTAAATCTTTCATTTATGTCCAGAGTTGCTTACTCTTGACACTATTGACATTTTGGGCCAGATAACTCCTCACTCTGAGGGCTGTTCTGTGGATTGTTGGGTGTTTTGCAGCATTTCTGGCCTCTACCCACCAGCTGCCAGTAGTAGCCTGCCAGTTGTGACCATCAGATTTCTTCAGACATTGCCAGATGTCCCCTGGGGATCAAAATTGCCCCTGGCTGAGAAACACTAATGCATATACCTACACTACAAGTTGTAGGTTTCCAGTGTGAGAAAATGGGATTCAAGGTAATTTTTCTTACCTGGACTAGAGGAAAGAACCATGTCCTCAAAGTGTGGGCTGTGGACCACCTGCATCAGATGCTTACATGCAGATTCCAGGCCTGATTTGGAGCTGTTGAGCCAGACTTCCTGGTTAGTATCTGCCCTGCAGTGGGCTCTCATTGGAGTAGGGTGCTGAGGTGGGAGTATCAGGAAGGATTCCTGGAGGAAGGGCCATAGTAGCAAAGTTTGGATGGGTAAAGGGAATTCGGTGGCCAGAAAAGGAAGGAGAAAGGGTGTTCTATGGCCTCCAGGGTGAGGCCACAAGCCTCCTGCTATGAGTATTCTTATTGATTGATTGAGACGGGGTCTCACTCTGTTGCCCAGGTTGGAGTGCAGTGATGTGATCATAGCTCACTGCAGCTTTGAGCTCCTGGGCTCAAGTGATTCCTCCTGCCTCAGTCTTCTGAGTAGCTGGGACCACGAGTATGTGCCACCACACCTGGCTACTTTTAAAATTTTATCTTTCTTAGAGATTGGGTCTTACTATGTTACCAAGGCTGGTCTCTTACTCCTGGTCTTAAGTAATCCTCCTGCCTTGGCCTTCTAAAGTGCTGGGATCACAAGTGTGAGCCACTATGCCTAGCACTGTGAAACATTGCAATGACAGCACCTGCTCCTTCCTGAACCCTGTCCCAAGCTTAGCATCACTGCTTCTTATTTAAATAAGTTTTTCCCCATTAAAAAAACAATGTGAATTCACTTTGTAAAACAATTTAGAAATCGCCTAGCAAAAAAGAGAAATAGTTAAAACCACGTGATTCCTGTCCAGAGATAGCCATTGTTAACATTTTTCCTGTGAATCTAGTGTACATGTTGTCTTAAGTCCTGCCTTTTCTCACTTAAAAAGATTTCTTACAGAAACTCTTATTTCTTGAAAGCACAGGAATACTGTAAGAGTTCTGCCTCATATTATGAAGGGGATAGGATGTTTATTGGATGCCTGGTAGGTCACATTCCAGAACTTGTTAGTATTCAGCCTGCTGGTCTTGAAGGACACATCCCAACCTGACTTAGTGTACTAGTCAGGGTTCTCTAGAGGGAAGGACTAATAGGATAGATGTATGTATGAAAGGGAGTTTATTAAGGAGTATTGACTCACATGATCACAAGGTGAAGTCCCACAATAGGCCGTCTGCAAGCTGAGGAGCCAGGAAGCCAGTCTGAGTCCCAAAACCTCAAAAGTAGGGAGGCCGACAGTGCAGCCTTCAGTCTGTGACCGAAGGCCTGAGATCCCCCTGGCAAACCACTGGTGTAGGTCCAAGAGTCTAAAAGCTGAAGAACTTGGAGGCTGATGTTTGAGGGCAGGAAGCCTCCAGCACAGGAGAAAGATGAAGGCCAGAAGACTCAGGAAGTCAGCTCCTTTCATGTTCTTCTGCCTGCTTTCTTCTAGCTGCGCTGGCAGCTGATTAGATGGTGCCCACCCAGATTGAGGATGGGTCTGCCTCTCCCAGTCCACTGACTCAAATGTTAATCTCCTTTGGCAACACCCTCACAGATACATGCAGGATCAATACTTTGCATTCCTTCAATCCAGTCAAGTTGACACTCAGTATTCACCATCACACTCAGTATTCACCATCACACTCAGCATTTCTTTTCCCTTCAATCTGCACATCTGCTGGATTTCTCAGGACTGGACAAAGACAGCATTCTTTTCAAAGCCCCCCAGTCACATTTAATTACTCCTATGCTCTCAATTCTGGGCACCCCCACCTGGTGCCCAGTGGGTATCCCCCACCTGTTGTTCTTGGGAGCTCTCTGCCCAGCTGTCTTCTCCCTCCTGCCCTCTGGCTTTCTCTGCACCCAGGATTGTTCCCCCTTCTCTCTCCTGCCGCTGTGGCATGGCCTTTCTCTGTCTCCCGTTCGGTCCTGGTGCTGCCTTGCTTTGCAGCTGTTCATGGCTGCCCCAGGGCCTTTAGAGAACCAAGTGGTTTGGCCTTGAAGGCATTTTACAATCTGTTTCCAAGGCTCCTTCTCACTGCCACTGCCCCTTCACACCACAGCCCACCTCCTGGTCCCTGCAGACATGCGGCTCTCTCTCATGGTAAGGCCTCATGGTAAACCAGCTGGGCATTCTTCCATGGCTGTCAGCCTCATCTGTTTCTCCAAAAAGTGTTGTCTATTTTTCAGCACTGAATCCAATTTCACCTCCTTTTTTCCATTTCTTTCTTGTAGCATCTTTCATCTCCATTTGTCAATTCACTTACTCCATTTATTCATTATCCTCCCCATTCTTGGTGGCTGCCATGTGCATCTGAGGCCTCTAGGGATAGAAATGAAGGGCGTTGAGGAGCTGACACCCTGGCTGGGGACAAGGCACTCTGGGTGCAGTCCTGGCTTTGTTAAGGACCACCTCTCTGACCACGGGAAAGTTACTTCAGTGTCAGATCTTCATCTGTGAGATGGGGAATGTTACTGCCCTCTTTAAAGTGGAATGCTAGGAGCCAGCGTAGCAGCGCATGTCACAGGCTCAGTGCTCGCATTTGGAGGAGGCTGCTGGCCTGCTGAGGTCTGAGAACCTCAACATGTGTGCCTGTCCCAGACGTATGTGCTTATTGTTTTGGGTTTCCTGGAATTTGGAGGCAGCTTCCTAGGCAGCAGCTCCAGGAGAACAGGGGCCTTATCCATTGCTTCATCTTCTTCAGAGGAAGGTGACTGTCACTTATAGGCATACCTTGATTGATTGTGCTTTGTCTTACTGGGCTTCACAGAGATCATGCATTTTCCAATTTGGAGGTTTGTGGCAATCCTGTGTCGAACAAGTTTATTGATGCCGTTTTTTCAACCTCGGGTGCTCACTTTGTGTCTCTGTCACATTTTGGTAATTCTCGGATGTTTCTTTTTTTTTTTTTTAAGACGGAGTCTCTCTCTGTCGCCCAGGCTGGAGTGCAGTGGTGGGATCTCGGCTCACTGCAAGCTCCGCCTCCCGGGTTCACACCATTCTCCTGCCTCAGCCTCCCGAGTAGCTGGGACTACAGGCGCCCGCCACTGCACCCGGCTAATTTTTTGTATTTTTAGTAGAGATGGAGTTTCACCTTGTTAGCCAGGATGATCTCGATATCCTGACCTCGCTATCCGCCCCACCTCGGCCTCCCAAAGTGCTAGGATTACAGGCTAGAGCCACCGCACCCAGCCCCAATTCTTGGATTTTTCACACTTATTTATATCTGCTTTGGTGATCTGTGATCGGTGATCTTTGATGTCACTTTTGTAAATGTTTGGAGGTGCCACAAACTGCATGTGTGTGAAACGGTGAACTTAACTGATAAATGCTGTGTGTCTTCTGACTCCAGAACACAGGGTTCCAGTGACCAGCCATTCTCCTGTCTCTCCCTCTCCTCAGGCTTCCCTGTTCCCTGAGAGGCAACAATACTGCAATTAGGCCAATTAATAACCCTACAATGGCCTCTAAAGTGTTCAAGTGAAAGGAAGCCTTGCACATCTCTCCCTTTAAGTCAAAAGCAAGAAATGATTAAGCTTAGTGAGGGAGCCGCATCGAAAGCCTAGATGGGCTGAAAGCTAGGCCTCTTGTGCCAAACAGCCAAGTTGAGAATGTGAGGGAGAAGTTCTAGAAGAAAGTTAAATGTGCTACTCAGTGAACACAGAAATGATAAGAAAGTGAAACAGCCTTATAGCTGATCCAGAGGAAGTTTTCATGGTCTAGATGGAAGATCAAACCAGCCACAATATTAGCTGAAGCCTAATCCAGAGCAAAATCCTGTCTCTACTAAAAATATGAAAAATAGCTGGGTATGGTGGCATGCGCCTCTAATCCCAGCTACTTGGGAGGCTGAGGCAAGAGAATTGCTTGAACCTGGGAGGTGGAGGTTGCAGTGAGCCGAAATCGTGCCATTGCACTCCAGCCTGGGTGACAGAGCGAGACTCCGTCTCCAAAAAAAAAACAAAAAACAAAAAACAAAAAACAAAAAACAAGGCCAGGTGCGGTGGCTCATGCCTGTAATCCCAGCACTTTGGGAGGCCGAGGCGGGTGGATCACGAGGTCAGGAGATCAAGACCATCCTGACTAACACGGTGAAACCCCGTCTCTACTAAAACTACAGAAAAATAGCTGGGCGTAGTGGTGCGCACGTGTAGTCCCAGCTACTTGGGAGGCTGAGGCAGGAGAATGGCGTGAACCCGGGAGGCGGAGCTTGCAGTGAGCCGAGATTGCCCCACTGTGCTCCAGCCTGGGCAACAGAGCGAGACTCCATCTCAAAAATAAATAAATAAATAAATAAAAATAAAAGGAAAGAAAAGAAAAACCTTCTGGAAAGGATTCACCATTCTAGATGTCTTTAAAACATCTGTGATTCATGGGAGGAGGTAAAAACATCAACATTAACAGGAGTTTGGAAGAAGTTGATTCCAGCCCTCATGGATGACTCTGAAGGGTTCAAGGCTTCAGTGGAGCAAGTCACTGCAGATGTTGTGGAAATAGCAAGAGAACTAGAATTAGAAGTGGAGCCTGAGGATGTGACTGAATTGCTGCAGTCTCGTGATCAAATTTGAACAGATAAGGAGTTGCTTCTTACGGATGAGTAAAGAAAGTGATTTCTTGAGATGAGATGGAATCTACTCCTCGTGAAGAGGCTGTGAACATTGTTGAAATGACAACAGAGAATTTAGAATAGTACACACATTTAGTTGATAAAGAAGTGGTAGGGTTTGAGAGGATTGACTCCAATTTTGAAAGCAGTTCTACTGTGGGAAAAATGCTATGAAACAGCTTCATATGCTACAGAGAAACCTTTCATGAAAGGAAGAGTCGATCAATGCAGCCAACTTCATGGTGAGGTGAACCCAGCCCTCGGCACCCACCACCCTGATCACTGAGCAGCCGTCAACATCGAGGCAAGACCCCCACAGCAGAAAGATGATTATCCGCAGGCTCAGATGAGTGTTAGCTTTTGTGTGTGTGTGTGTGTGAGATAGGGTCTTGCTCTGTCCCCCAGGCAGCAGTGTAGTGGTGTGATCATGGCTCACTGCATCCTTGACCTCCTAGAATCAAGCAGCCCTCCCACCTCAGCCTCCTGAATAGCTGGAATTACAGGTGCATGCCACCATGCCCAACTATTTTTCTTTTTTGTAGAAACAAGGTTTCACCATGTTGCCCCGGCTTGTCTTGAACTCCTGGCCTCAAGTGATCCTCTTATCTCAGTCTCTCACAGTGCTGGGATTACAGGCATGAGCCATTGTGCCCAGCCTGTAGCATATTTTAGCAATAAAGTATTTTTTCTCTCTCTTTTTCCTCCTTTCTCCCTTTCTTCCCTCCCTGTCTTCCTCACCTACTTTCTTTCCTTTTCTCTTTTTTTCCTTAAGAGACAGAATCTCTCTGTGTTACCCAGGCTGAACTGCAGTGGTGCAGTCACAGCTCCCTGCAGCTTCAAACTCTTGGGCTCAAGCAGTTCTCCCAATTCATCCTCTCAAAGTGCTGAGATTACAGGCATGAGCCACTGTACCTGGCTCAATAAGGTATTTTTTAAACTAAGGTATGTACTTTTTTTTTTTTTTTTTTTTAGATGTAATGCTGTTGCACACTGAATAGACTATGGTATGGTATAAACATAATTTATATGCACTGGGAAGATAATGTGTGACTCACTTTATTGTGATACTTACTTTAGTGTGGTCTGAAACCAAACCCCCAGTGTCTCCAAGAAATGTCCATAGTAGTTATTCAATAAATATTTTGGATTGATTGAGTCAATGATCCTTTCTTCTCCTGCATTCTAGAAGTGAGACATTTGGTTTTAAATCAGAGAAAATTCTCTGAACAGGGCATTGAGAATGCCAACATTGTCAAAGAAGAGTCGAATCAGGAATATCCACCAGGAAAACAAGAAAAAGTAGAAAAACACCCAAAGTCTTTGCAAGGTGAGCGGAGAAGGCCTTAGTGGATAAGCTGAGTGCAAGGCAATGGCAGGGAAAGTGGTCGTGTGTTGTGCTGGGGTGGTGCATCTGCATGGGCGTCCCTCCCGTGTGTTGGCAGTGGAGGCGGGTGGGGCTCATCCTGCCACACAGCTGTACTGCTCTTGCTGCATGGCTTACTTTTCCTTGCTGATTCTGAGTTCTGCTCTTGTCCCCCAGGCTGGAGTGCAATGGCACAATCTTGGCTCACTGCAACCTCTGCCTCCTGGGTTCAAGTGATTCTCCTGCCTCAGCCTCCCGAGTAGCTGGGATTACAGGCGCCCACCACCACACCCAGCTAATTTGTGTATTTTTAGTAGAGACCATTTAGTAGAGACCAGCCTCACCAGGTTGGCCAGGCTGGTCTTGAACTCCTGACCTTAAGTGATCCACCTACCTCAGCCCCCAAAATGCTGAGATTGTAGGTGTGAGCAACTGCACCCGGTCCCAAAAACTTCTCTGACTGTGGAAGTTGTATATATGGTTTTTAGAAAATTCAGTGAATAGATAAAAATATAAAACAAACAGGGAAAACAATTTCATCACAAGGAGCAATCTATGTAACATTGTAGTGTGGTGACTATGTAGTATTTCATCTTCTCAGCAGACTGTAATTTGCTAACCATTCCGTATGGTTGGGAACTTGGGACTGTTTTCATTATTCTCTAATGTAAACAGGACTGAAATGAACCATTTAATAGATAATAGACTTTCTTCTTTTTCTCTGTGGGCTGTTATGTAAGGAACTGGAGGTCTCCTCTTGACTCCATTTATCCAAATAATCAAATATTAGTCTGTGTTTATTCGTTTACTCACTTATTAACAACAAACTTTTTGACTGAGTGCTTCCCACATCCCAGGCCTTCTGCGTAGAGACTGACATTACAGAAATGGGTCGGGGCCCTCATTTCTTAGTGAACTAGCATGTAACAAAAAGCTTAGAAATATTTGCTACTGTTTTCAGGTTCTCACCAAGCAGAGCCCGAAAATTCTTCCAAGAACAGTGAGGAATATGAGAAGTCCCCCAAAACGGACGATTCTTCTACGGTTCAGTAAGGATTGAACGATATTTTGGGTGGTGGGAGTGGAGCTCCTCTTGTACTAGCCCTACTATGGTAGGTTTTTTAGTAAATCCGGTTAAATTGGAGCTCATGCAATCCAGGCTAAATTAAGTGAACAGGGAAAGGGCAGCTTGTGTTTATGAGTATATGTTGCACATCAAACTTTCTGCATGCATCATTTTATCTGATTTGATCCTCATAATAACTACACAAAGTGACTGAGTAATTAAATGATTTACACAAAGTGATAAACCAGAATTCCTGGTTAAGCCGGGATTCCAACCCACAGCTTCAGACTCCTGAGTCTCCAGTCATCCTGCATGAGGTCAGTTGCTTTTAGGGCCTCTGGTAGCCTAAGGGTCTGGAGAAGGAGACTCCTTGGATGCTATGGGGACCAGGGAGAGAATGGAAGCCCAGCTGGTGGTTTTGGGAAATGGAATGAGAAGAACCAAGAGAACATGTCTTTAAACAATTTTGATTTTTTTAAAAATTGTTTTTGTATGGAATATATAGATTATTTGGGGAAGAATTGACATTTTTACATTGTTAAGGTATCTCATCCATGATCATGGTATATCCTTTCATTCAATTCATACCCTCCCTTATGTCCTTTAATGGAGTTCATTTGTTCTGCCTATAAATGTTGTGGATAATTCCTATAAGTGAATTCTTAGATGTTTTATAGTTTGGGTTATTTTTATAAAAATATATTATTTTCCATTATATTTTTGAGTTGGTTAGTACCTTGAATGCAGACCAAGTGTGTCAGCATTACTGGGAATTTGGTAGAAATGGAGAATTTCAGGCCTGCCCCTGGTTTACTGAACCCGAGTCTTCATTTTATTTGATAAAATCCCTAGGTAACTCACAGGCACATTGAAAACTGAGAAGCACTGGGTTAGAGGAATGCACTATAAGGTTTTTTAAAAATCTGCTCTCCTTTGGTCCATCAGTAAATAGATTATCAGATCTGGCCCCTGATTTTTTTCACCTTCATTCATTTTTTTCTTTGTGAATTTTCTAGATGCAGTGTTTCAAGAACACCAACCATTTCTTTGGCAGGAGCAAGCATGATGGAGATCAAGGAATTAATTGAGAGTGAATCACTTAGCAGCTTAACAAACATATTAGACAGACAAAGGTCTCAAAGTAAGTTAGGATAGGATTTGGGAATTTTATAGTATAACTAGACTTGGAAGAATTATGAAATATTTTAAATTCAGGATATTCCAATGAGATTCTTGCATATTTGACCAAATGTTTCTCAAAAGTAAAGAGTACTGTATACATTTTCAACTTATGCATCCCATCCTTACCATCCATCCATCCATCCATCCCCATCCATCCATTCATCCATCTGTCCATCCCCATCTATCTATCCATCCATCTCTATTCATCCATCCATTCATTTATCCATCCCCATCCATCCATCCTCATCCATTCATCAGTCCACCCATCCATTCCATTTATTCATTCATCCATCCATCCATCCATCCATCCATCCATCCCTCCATCCATCTCCATCCATCCATCCATCCATCTCTATCCATCCATCTCCATCCATCCATCCATTTGTTCCATTTCTTCTCATGTCATTTACTCATCCTCATCATCCATTCCATTCCAACAATATTTTTGACCCACGATGTTGTGCATATGGGGGACATGAAAATCTCTAATATCTAATGGAGACTTTCAAATAAAGAATTACAATTCTATGTGATAGATGTTGTGGTAGGGGTAGGTATGCGGTATGTTGGGGAAGCATAAAAGAATCATGTTTATGTAAAAACTCTCCTTGAAAGATAAAGTATTTACTCTTTTTCTTTTTCTTTTTTTTTTTTGAGACAGAGTCTCACTCTGTCGCCCAGTATTGGCTCACTACAAGCTCCACCTCCTGGGTTCACGTCATTCTCCTGCCTCAGCCTCCCGAGTAGCTGGGACTACAGGCGGCTGCCACCGCGCTCGGCTAATTTTTGTTTTTTGTATTTTTAGTAGAGACGGGGTTTCACCGTGTTAGCCAGGATGGCATTGATCTCCCGAAATTGTGATCTGCCTGCTTCAGCCTCCCAAAGTGCTGGGATTACAGGTGTGAGCCACCGCGCCCGGCCTTCTTTTCTTTTTTTTGAGAGGGAGCCTGGCTCTATTGCCTAGGCTGGAGTGCAATGGTGCAGTCTTGGCTCACTGCAACCTCTGCCTCCTGGGTTCAAGCAATTCTTCTGCCTCAGCCTCCTGAGTAGCTGGGATTACAGGCATCCACCACCATACCCAGCTAATTTTTGTATTTTTAGTAGAGATGGGGTTTCACCATGTTGGTCAGGCTGGTCTCAGATTCCTGATCTCAAGTGATCCGTCTGCCTCAGCTTCCCAAAGTGCTGGGATTACAAGCATGAGCCACTGCGTCCGGCCCAGTATTTACTCTTATGGTGGAATGAAGAACACAGTATTCCGTGTCATGGGACCCGCTCATGCAGAAGCGTGTCATCTTATTCACATACTGTCAAGAGATCTGAACCCTCAGAAGCCATTAAATCGACTTCCTCATTCTCAGCCTACATCCCCTTACCAGTTTCTCATTAAGAAGTTGTGTTTCCAGTGTGAGGTGGGAAAATCTAGAGCCAGTGGGTATACTGCTGCCTCCTGGGATGGGCCATTTCACGTCCTTTTAGCTGTAATTGCTACAGATCATTTCCTCATCTATCAATCAGTTAATCTGTTGTTTGCTGACACTGGCCTGGTTCTAGTGCAACAGTCGAAGGCTGCAGAGGGAAGTGACTGCTTGAGTCAGGATCTCTGCTGGGTACTGGAGATACAGTTGAAGAAAACTCATTCCTATTCTTACGGTCCACAAAGACTGAGTCACACTTTCACATGTGAACGCCTCTCAACTTCTGACTTTTTTCTTTTCCAGATTAAAAATGTCACTCTTTTTAAAAATGTAGTTTAAGCATTCAGTGAGGTTTTTAAACCATTCTTTTATTTTGAAATAAAGATAGGAAAGTTCACACAAAAATGCAACAACTACATATTCACAATTTAGGTGTTAGCATTTTGCCATGTGTTATGGGTGGACCGTCCTGCATGCATACAGTCCCCCTGCTCGGGATCTGAGTTGTCTCCAATTTCTTGCTCCAGCACTGCCATGGTGAGTGTCTGGGCACACATGTGAGTCCAAAGCATTGGCCCAGTGGGACCCCTGGGGCACAGGCTGTGAGCCTCGACCCCATTGCTAGATGCTGCTAGTTTACTGTCCAGGCAGCATCTCTCTCTCTCTTTTTTTTTTTTTTTGAGACAGAGTTTTGCTCTTGTTGCCTAGGCTGGAGTGCAATGGCGTGATCTCGGCTCACCACAACCTCCACCTCCCAGGTTCAAGCAATTCTCCTACCTCGGCCTCCCGAGTAGCTGGGATTATAGGCATGTGCCACCACGCCTGGCTAATTTTGTATTTTTAGTAGAGATGGGGTTTCTCCATGTTGGCCAGGCTGGTCTTAAACTCCTGACCTCTAGTGATCCACCTGCCTCAGCCTCCCAAAGTGCTGGGATTACAGGCGTGAGCCACTGGGCCCAACCTCAGGCAGCATCTCTTTACCCCCCTGCTCGCAGTCCTAAGGACTGCTGTTCTCTGCTGCTCTGCACAGACATGGTTTAGTTCCTGACTCCTGGTGAGGCTGAGCAGCATTGCATAGGCTTATTTGGTCACACTCTTCTACAATTTTCCTATTCATATCTTTGCTTATTTTTTTGTTAGTTTAAAAAAATTATTGATCTGCCAGCTTTGTGTTTACATCTGGATGATTGTGCATTGCCAGTTATATGCATGATAACCCTCACAGACAGGGGTATGTAACTTATCCTTTGACTAGATTTATGGTATCTTGTTTTGTACACCAATTATTTAACTATTCCTCTCTAGTTTATACTTTCAGGAATGTTTAAGAAATCCTTCCTTAGCTGGGTATGGTGGTGCACGCCTGTAGTGCAAGCTACTTGCAAGGCTGAGGGGATCATCACTTGAGCCCAGAGTTCATGGCCAGCTTTGGCAACATAGTGAAACACCATCTCTCTCTTTTTTTTTCCCCAAAGACTGAGTTTCTCTCTTGTAGCCCAGGCTTGAGTACAGTGGCACGATCTGGGCTCACTGCTACCTCTGCCTCCCAGGTGCAAGTGATTCTCCTGACTCAGCCTCCCAAGTAGCTGGGATTACAGGTGCCTGCCACCATACCTGGCTAATTTTTTATTTTAGTAAAGATGGGGTTTCACCATGTTGGCCAGGCTGGTCTCAAAATCCTGATCTCAGGTAATCCACTTGCTTCAGCCTCCCAAAGTGCCGGATTCACCATGTTGGCCAGGCTGGTCTCAAAATCCTGACCTCAAGTGATCCACTTGCCTCAGCCTCCCGAAGTGCCGGATTTACAGGAGTGAGCCACCGCACCCGGGCAAAACATCATCTCTTAAAAAAAAGAAAAAAGAGGCTGGGTGCGTTGGCTCAAGCCTGTAATCCCAGCACTTTGGGAGGCCAAGGCAGATGGATCACCTGAGGTCAGGAGTTCGAGACTAGCCTGGCCAACATGGTTGAAACCCTATCTCTACTAAAAATACAAAAATTAGCTGGCCGTGGTAGCATGTGCCTGTGGTCCTAGCTACTCAGGAGCCTAAGGCAGAAGAATCACTTGAACCCGGGAGGCAGAGGTTGCGATGAGCCTCGATTGCGACATTGCACTCCAGCCTGGGCAACAGAGTGAAACTCCGTTTCAAAAAAAAAAAAAAAGAAAAGAAAAGAAAGAAAGAAAGAAATCCTTCTTCATGCAGATGTCAGTATAGTCTCCTAGATACTCTTCTGATGATTTTGAAGTTTTTGTTTTATACTCTTAGTCTGTAATTCATTTTGTATAGGCCATGAAATAATTCAGTAACTTAATTTGCTCCCATATGGACAGTCAATATAACTTACCCACTGATTTGAAACGCCACTTCTGGCATCTGTTGGGTTCCCCTATGTGTTTGGGTCTGTTCCTGGGCTTTCTCATCTGTCCCATTAGTCTTGATGACCGTAGATTTATATGTGTTCTCATCTCCTTTTCCTTCTGGTCTGAGCTTGGCATTGAGCTGAATGTTTTATGTAGCGTTGCTAATTTCCTCTTTTCAGTGCCCTAGAAGGCAGGTGCTGTTGCCCTCATGTAACAGGTGAGGTTACTGAGGCTCAGACTGTGGGCTTTTGTTTAAGAGCAGGGTCTCTTAAAAAAGCCCACCCTCCGCCCTGTGCTGAGATTAAGAGCTGACTGGAGGGAGCCTTGAGTGTGTTATGGCATCATTGTCATGGTGACTTTAGTCCTCTTCTACCTGTGTTCTCAGTTAGCAGAGGCGGGGAATAAGAGACCCTTACCTTATTACTACATATAACTGGCAACGGGCCTGCCATCTATATTTAGCCACCACTTCTGGTTGCTGGGAAGAGGCAGTCACACAAAGAACAACCCCTGTCTTCTAGGAGCTTCCGGAACCTTCCCAAATCTCTGTAGCATGTTCAGGTCCACATGTGGCAGCTCAGATACAGTCTCCTCTTAATGCTTATCTCCTTTATTTGATTTCACAGTTAAAGGAAAAGATTCAGAGGGAAGAAAGAAAATCCAGAGGAGACATAAGAAGCCCCCTGCAGAAGAAGAGGCAGACCCCACGCTGATAGGCCTAAGGAAGCAGAGCGCTTTCTCCATCCAACTGGCCGTCATGCCGCTCCTTGCCGGTACCCACTCCTTGCCCTGTTCCCAGCAGCTCCAGCTTGCCAGAATGGCCATAAGCAGATGCTCCTAATGACAACCCTGCTGTGTGCCACCTCATTTCATCCTCACAGCCACCTCAGGAAACTCAGGGGAATTGGCTCCATAGTACAGGGGGAAACAAAGACCCAGAGAGGGTAGCTACATTGCCTGAGATCACACAGCTAGGAAATGTGAAGTCTGGACCTGAACCCAGCTCTATTTGATTCCAAACTCCAAGGAAGCCTATGGGAATATTAAATGTCATCATTGTGTTTGCTAAGAAGATGCTGCTTTTAATAAATGCTTTCCTATAGATTTTTACAAAAACATCTAGTAAAGGGAATGAGGAAAGGGAACCCTTTTTGACTGAGCCCCTCTAGGTGCAGGCACCTCCCGTATGACACTTCTCAGACCAAATTCTGAGCCACTCAGCCAACCTGTGGTGTGGTGGCTGTGGTGGTTACCATTGTTACCATTTTTTTCAGTGAGGAAAAGAACTCAAAGAGGTTAAGTAACTTTCCTAAGGCCGCATAACTCAATGGCCAGCAGGGATTTAATTCTTTTGCTTTGTAAGATCTACCACAATTTATGAACTAGATTTTATACATATTGGTAAATCTTAACTAAATATTATATCAATATGTTTTGATGATGGAAATCTCAGCATATATTTTGGTAACATTATATTGCTTTGTTCCAAAAAAGAGTAATACGGGGTGAGCTCCCCCGCTTTTTTTTCTTTTTAGAGAAAATTCAGACTTTGTTCATTTTTTTGGCCATCACGTGTCTTGTGCGCCCTCTCCTGGCTACTCTGCAGAAGCGCGTGCGTTGGTCTTTTCTGAACTGGGACCAGAGGAGGGGGCGAAACCCCCATAGGTCAGAGCTGCCAGTTCACTTCCACAGGTACCAGTCATCATCCTCCTCATGCGCTTTTGGGTTGGTGTCGATTCATTGTGAGAAAGTCCTATTAACTTTTCAGTTTGCACTTTTTTTTCTTTTTTTTTTTTTTGAGATAGGGTCTTGCTCTCTCACCCAGGCTGGAGTGTAAGTGACACAATCATAGCTCACTCTAGCCTGAAGCAAGCCCTGCCTCTGCTGCCCGCATAGCTGAGACTACAGGTGCACACTACCACACCTGGCTATTACTATTATTATTATTATTATTTTGTATTTTCTGTAGAGACAAGGTCTTGCTTTGTTGTCCAGGCTGGTCTCAAACTCCTGGACACAAGTAATCCTTCTGCCTCTGGCTCTCAGCGTTCTAGAATTACAGGTGTGAGCTGCCGCACGTGGCAGTTTGCAGTTTTAAATGACTTTTTGAAAATCATACTTCACCTACAGCTGGTCCTTCCTGACCACCTTCACTTTCTCGTAGCATCAGAACCTTCTTGAGAAGTGACAGTGCCAGAGAGTAAACTTAAAGAGTGTCTTCCCCCGCCCCATTCTCCAGCCTGACACTCCAGCATACCTGTAGCACACAGTGACTTTGAGCAAACGCCTTTGCTAGCTGCTTCCTCTGTCCTAGAGTCCCAAGGAGGAACCCATGATCCTCCTAGGGGAGTGTACCATGGGACCTGCCCCACTTTGGATTTTACTGTGAGAGGAAAGAGAAGTTCAACTGTCTTGGCCTGCCTGGCGTGACTGTTTCCAGCAGAATGAAGCCAGGACATGGTCCCCTCTCTCTTTTTTTTTTTTTTTTTGAGGTGGAGTCTTGCTCTGTCGCCCAGGCTGGAGTGCAGTGGTGTGATCTTGGCTCACTACAACCTCTGCCCCCCGGGTTTAAGCAATTCTCTTGCCTCAACCTCCAGAGTAGCTGGGATTACAGGTGCGTGCCACCAGGCCAGGCTAATTTTTGTATTTTTAGTAGAGATGGGGTTTCACCATGTTAGCCAGGCTGGTCTTGAACTCCTGACCTCGTGATCCGCCCGCCTCAGCCTCCCAAAGTGCAGGGATTACAGACGTGAGCTACCACGCCTGACCTAGCGTCCCCTCTCTTTAACCTGTACCGTCATGGCTGTACAATGCAGGGGTTCATATGTAAGAGCTTTGGTGACAAAAACAGTTTGATCATGGCTCAGTCACTTACCAGCAAGTTACCTGCTTTCTCTGAGTCTCACTTTCCTCCTCTATGAAATGGGGGTGATCACTCCTACCTCAGAGCATTGTTTTAAGGATCACAGGAGCTGATGTATGTAAACTGCTTAGCACAGTGGGACCCAGAGGGTGCTGGTGTGGAGGCAGCAGCTGCCTCCTGAGGCCATGTGTGTGGGCCACTCCATTATACCCTGACACAGCCTATGGTCGTCAGCAGAGCACAGGTCGGCTCAGCAGGCCAGTTGTATGTCTGGTTTTTTCAGAAAATAATAGCATAAGATTATTTATTGTAAACTCAGCATAATTATTTTTGGTAATCATCTTCAATTTCAAATTAGGCCATAGATCACGTATACCTTATTAGTAAATATTGGTTGGCTAGTAACCTAGTAAGATTCTAGAAAGATTCTGTGTCTGGCAGTGAACTCTTATTTTAAAAGGATAGTATTGCATAGCGGAGGGGCCCCACTTAGCCCCGCAGAACTGGTTTGGATGCTGGTTCCACAACGTATTGGCTAAGAGACCTTGGATGATTGCGTCGGAACTCTGGGCCTCAGTTTCCCCATCTGTAATGTGGCGATGACAGCAGCCAGACAAGGTTAAGGATGAAATGACATTAGCGCATGTTGGGACTGGCTGTAGCAGGAGCACAAACATTCCCTTGCACTGTTCCACTCTTACTCGACCAGGGCTCTTAACTCAGGGGACTTGTGTCTGCTGGGGACATTTGGCAGCGTGTGGAGGCATTTTGGTTGTCACGACTGAGAGTGGGGTGCCACTGACATCTAGTAAGATACTGTTAAACATGCCACAATGCATAGGACTGTCCCCTGAGCAAAGAATGGCCTGCCCCAACTGTCGGCACTATGGAGGCTGTGAGCCCCCAGCCTGGAATTCTGTTCTGGTACATGTCTCCCTGACTCTGATGATTTGAGCACTTTTTAAAATTTTTATTTTTGCACTGGGGATTCCTTCTACCTTGAGTAGTCTTTTTTTTTTTTTTTTGAGACAGAGTTTCACTCTTGTTGCCCAGGCTGGAGTGCAAAGGTGTGATCTCAGCTCACTGCAACCTCCGTCTGCCGGATTCAAGTGATTCTCCTGCCTCAGCCTCCCAAGTAGCTGGGATTACAGGCATGCGCTACCATGTCCAGCTGATTTTGTATTTTTAGTAGAGATAAGGTTTCTCATTTTGGTCAGGCTGGTCTCGAACTCCTGACCTCAGGTGATCCGCCCCCCCTCGGCTTCCCAAAGTGCTGGGATTATAGGCGTGAGCCACCACGCCTGGCCCAGAATGCTTTTTCTATAAAAGGGATCCATGTATTTCACCAGTCAGAGATGTACTAGGTAGGGAAAAAACAAACAAAAAAAAAAACCCTCAAGTTTTGGAGGCAGGATTGACCTGGGTTTGAATCCCAGATCTGACTCTTTGTCATGTGATAAGTTAGAGTCTCCGAGGCTCAATTTCATCTGCAAAATGGGGATAGATACCTCCTTCCTTGGGGTTAAAAGATTAAGAAAGATGATGTATGACATAGTGCTCAAAAAGATCAGTCTATTCCTTTCAACATGTCTGTAAATGCATTTCTAGGGCATGTAAAAGCCAAGTCACTCACATTCAGAAAGAGTAGGCGCTTCTAAAACAAGTCATGGGCCAGGTGTGTTCAGCCTGGGCGACAGAGTGAGACTCCTCCTCAAAAAAAAAAAAAGAAAAAGTATTCTGACAGCTACCTATATGCCTTGCAATGGCTCCATTCACCCACCCTTTTCATGAGGCGCACTAGTGCAAAACCATCCTGGTGGGAGGTGTGCATGCTTGTATTTGGCTCAGATGTGCCAGTTGTGTTCTACATCAATATCTGTATTTTCCTCATCAGATCACAACAGGTGAAGCAACCCACTGAGTACCAAATGTACACACTGGCATGATATGTCCTTGACGGGAGAACTGCCCGGAGCACTCCATCCAATAGCCTTCCTGCAGCAATGGCCAGGCTCTCTGCTGACCCATACAGGAGCCCATAGCCACATGAGGGTACTGGGCATTTGGAATGTGGCTTGTGTGGAGAAGGAAGTGCATTTTATATTTTATTTAATTTTAATTAGTTACAATTCAAGTAGCTACTTATGGCCCATAGCTACCATAGTGGATAGCAGAACAGGTCTAGAACGTTGGTTCTCAAGTTACCTGGAGAGCTATTAAACCTCCCATTGTGGAGGCCACACCCCAGACCAATGAAATCAGACTGTCTGGGAGTGGCACCCACACATAGGTGTTCCTGTTGTATCCCAGATGATTCAGGAAATGCTTGTATTACTTATTAACAGATGTCATCAAGATTAAGTCACACACATTCAATTCTAGAAAATTTTCTCAGTTTGAGAAACTAGCACAGAACATGCTGCCCGTGGGTGTTTCCTGATTCTTTCTTTCTTTTTTTAATTAACGTTTTCCCTTTTGGGTTGTGATTTTATCATTGGCTCATCTCAGGTTGCTTGATCCTTCTGTGCTTGTCTTGGGGCTGTCATGAGGAAAGGTCTAATGCTGGGTGTATTTCCCCCCAGGATGGCAAACTGTCATGAGTCGTGGCAGTGAGAAGTCTGCCAACATTTTAGATTGCCTTTTGACTTTAAAAACAGAAGTTCCAATCATGACCGAGGAGCAAAAGCAGGATTTAAATCCCCTGACCATAAAGATCAAGTGTGCTTCCTGCCTTCCGTCACAGCCTGTGCCCATTCAGGAACTAGAGGTAAGAATGAGCCGGACACATGGAGTTTAGAGCTCCTTCCCTTCTACCCACCTGCCCGTCATATGCCATCACTAGTCCTCCCGATGGCACCAAATGAGAAATGTGGTTATCACCTGCATTCTACCATTTAGGATCCCGCAGTGATATACAAAAGAGATGGGGTTCCTGGGATTAGGTGTGACCAATCCTGAGGTCTCCTACTACGCCGCAGGTGCTCTTGAAATGCAGGTCATGAGCCTCCCTTCAGGAGCCCCCAGGCTGCCCCGTGGCAGTTACCAGCAGGATGCTCGCTCATTGTTAACCAACCAGGTTCAGTACTGCTGTTTATTCTGTGAGTTCTTTGTTCCCTCTCCTGGTTGGATCCCTGTCTCCTGAATTCTCTCCCTTTATTTGCTGTCTGGTTTTGCTGGAGTGCATCCTCTAGTAGCTTCTCAAGAAAAGGTCAATGGGAGATTTATTTTTGAGATCTCACATGTCTGCAGATATATTTTTTCTACCTTTTTTTATCCTTACACATGACTGGTAGTTTGGTTGTGTATAGAATTCTAGGCTAAAAATCATTTGCCTTCAGAGTTTTGAAGGCATTGTTCTATCATCTTTTATTTTCATACAAGTTGAACCTTTGTATGCGACCTGTTTTTTGTTTCTCCAAGTGCTTATAAAATCTTTTTTGTCTCCTTTTTTATTTTATTTATTTATTTGAGGCAGAATTTCACTCTTGTTGCCCAGGCTGGAGTGCAAGGGCGCAATCTCGGCTCACTGCAACCTCCGCCTCCCGGGTTCAAGCAATTCTTCTGCCTCAACCTCCGGAGTAGCTGGGATTACAGGCATGCGCCACCACACCCGGCTAATTTTGTATTTTTAGTAGAGACAGGGTTTCTCCATATTGGTCAATCTGGTCTCAAACTCCTGACCTCAGGTGATCCACCCACCTTGGCCTCCCAAAGTGTTGGGACTACAGGCGTCAGCCACTGCGCCCAGCCTTGTCTCCTTTAAAAAAAAATTTTTTTTCAGACAGGATCTCACTCCACTGCCCTGTCTGGGGTGCAGTGGTGCAATCATAGCTTACTGCAGCCTCAACCTCCTGAGCTCAGGTGATCCTCCTGCCTCAGCCTCCCTAGTAGCTGAGACTGCAGGTGCACACCACCACACCCAGCTAATTTTTGTATTTTTTGTAGAGACAGGGTTTTACCATGTTGCCCAGGCTGGTCCTGAACTCCTGGGATCAAGTGATCCTCCTGCCTTAGCCTCCCAAAGGGCTAGGATTACAGGTGTAAGCCACAGTGCCAGCCCTTTTTGTCTTCTGAAACTGCTTAATTGTGTGTCTTAGTGTGAGTATGTCCATATACATATGTCATACTTTTACTTTAAAATATAGATTCACAGAAAGTTGCAAAGACAGTACAGAGAGGTCCCATGTATCCTTTACCCAATTTCCTCAGTAATTGTTTCATAACTATAGCACAATATCAAAATCAGCACATTGACATTGGTCTAATGTGTATATAGGTCTGTGCCATTTTATTGTACATGTATGTAACTGTCACAGCACTTGAGATGTAGAAATAATCTATTGTCACAAAGATCTCCTTCACGCTACCCTTTTATAGTCACAACAACCCCCTAATACCCACCATCCCTAACCACTAATTTGCTCTCTATCGCTATACTTTTGTCAATTTGAAAATGTTATTGTTAAGGATTGAATTGTGTCCCCCCAAAAAAATTGTATGTTGAACTCCTAACGCCCTGTATCTCAGAATGTGGTCTTATTTGGAAAGAGGGTCTTTGCAGAGGTAATCAAGTTGAAATGAGGTCATTAGGGTATCCTTATGAAAAGGGGGAAATTGGACCCAGAGACAGACACACATAGAGGGAAGACTATGCAAAGTGACACACGGAGAACGCCACGTGGAAAGTGGATGCTGCCACATGCCAGGGGACATCTGGGGCCACCAGAAGCTGGAAGAGGCAAGGAAGGACCTTCTCGAGCACCTTCCGAGGAAACGTGGCCCTGCCAACAGCTTAATTTCTGACTTCTAGCCCTCAGAACAGGGAGACAATAAATTTCTGTCATTCTAAGCCCCCCCAGTTTATGGTGCTTCATAGGAAACTGGCGTGGTTATATAAATGAAAACATCCAGCATGTGACCTTTTGAGACTGGCCTTCTCCCCCACTCCAGCGTAATGCCCTTGCATGTAGTTTGGTCATGTTTCTTTATTTACTCTGCCTTTTAATTGGTATATTTAGACCATTATATTTAGAGTAAATGTTGATATATTAGAGCTTAAGTCTACCATTTTAATTTTTGTTTTCTCTCTGTTCCTTCTGTTTTTTTGATTCTCATGGTTTTTATTCCTGCTTTCTTGTGGGTTACTTGACCAATTTTTAGAATTCCATTTTGATTTATCTATAGTATTTTTGAATTTACATCTCTTGGTATAGATTTTTAGTGGCACTCTGGGTATTGTATTACGCATACATAACTTTTCACAATCTATTGGTATCAATATTTTACCAGTTTGAGTGAAATATAGAAACTTTACCTCCCTTCAAACCCCTTTAGTTTTCCTAAATATTTCCTCTACATAGATTGATAACCACATGAGATGATGTTATACTTTTTGCTTCAACTGTCAAACATAAACCTAGAAAACTCAAGGGTTGAAGGAAAGTATATATGTTTACCCATGGTTTTACTTATTTCATTATCCTTTCTTCCTTTCTAATGTTGCAAGACTTCTTCTTTTGTCATTTCCCTTCCGTTTCAAGAACTTCCTTTAGCCTTTCTTGTAGGATAAATCTGCTGAAAACAAATTCTTTTAGTTGTTCTTTGTCTCAGGGTGTTTTTATTTTTCCTTCACTCTGGAAGTACAGTTTCACTAGATATAGAATTGGTATAGAATGGGTTTTTTTGTTTTTTTGTTTTTTTTCTTTGAGACAGGAGTCTTGGCTTCTGTCGATGCCAAGGCTGGAGTGGGCAGCGTGGGCGTGACGTCGTTGGGCCCGACTTGCAACCTCTGCGCAATCAACCTGGTTCAAAGCGTTCTCCTGCCTCAGGCCTCCCTGAGCTAGCCTGCGGATTACCATAGGCACACACTATCATGCCCTGGCTACATTTTGTATTTTTTTAGTAGAGATGGGAATTTACCAGTGCTTGACGCGCCCAGCTAGTCTTGTAAACTTTCCTGACCATCAGGGATCAATGCCACCCTCAGCCTCCCAAAGTGCGGGGGTTACAGTGTGAGCCACTGCACGCCTGGCCGGATTTTTTTTTTTTTTTTAAACGACCGTTGAAAAATCGTTGACGTACCACTCATTCTTCTGATGGGAAATCTGAAATGTCATTCAATTGCTTTTTTTCCCTATAGGTACAGATGGCCATTTATCTCTTTGCCACGCTTTCAAGATTTCTTTCTCTGTTGCCATTCAATTTACACGAAAGTTTGACTATGACATGTCTTGGTGTGGATTTTCTCAGTTTGGTCTTTCCTATTTTGGGGTCTCCAGCTCTCTTTGAATCTAAGGGCTTTATGTATTTTGCCAAATTTTGAGAAAATTTTAGTCATTATTTATTGGAATACTTTTCAGCACCACCTTTTGTCTCCTCTCCTCCTGAAACTCCAATGATATGAATATTAGTTCTTTTTGTTTTAGTCCCACAAGGATCCTGAAAGTTCGTGATTC